ATTTCAAACCTTCTGGCTCTTACTTTCTTGTGGAAAGCACGAATCATTCTCTGTCGGTATAGTTGTCCATGACAAACAGCAACCATCCTTTTCTCATCAATCAACGTTAACTGATCGATCCGCTTGCGAACCCATTCGGCATCACTCAATTCAGCTTCTTGGATAATTCTCAAAGAAGGTATTTCAACTTCTGTAGGTATAACTGCTTCTGTTCCATATACTAGCAAATATGGAGTAGCTCCAACTGATGTTCTGACAGTCGTTCGGTAACCCAACAAAGCATATGGCAACATCTCGTGCCAACCTCTGCGATTATCAATCATTTTCCTCAAAATCTTCTTTATGTTCTTGTTGGCAGCTTCTACGGCTCCATTCATTTGGGGACGATAGGCGGTTGAGTTCCGATGAGTAATCTTGAATTGTTCACATAACTCTCTCATCAGGTGACTGTTGAGGTTAGCTCCATTATCAGTAATGATGGATTCTGGCACTCCAAACCTACATATCAGGTTGTTGCGAACAAAATCAGCTACAACTTTCTTGGTTACCGATTTGTATGAAGCTGCTTCTACCCACTTGGTGAAGTAGTCAATGGCAACCAAAATGAATCTGTGTCCATTAGAGGCGGTTGGCTCTATTGGACCAATGACATCCATGCCCCAAGCTACAAACGGCCAAGGCGAACTCATAGCATTGAGTTTGTGAGGCGGCACCCGAATCAAATCACCATGGGGCCATGCGGCGTATCGACTTCTTCTGGTTGAACGTTGCATTCTCAGGATAAATTCCGGTCTCCAAGTACTTCTTGATGTCAAAATACCAAGGCAAACCATCTGGTTCCGCTTCGACATGTGAACAATGAACAGGTTGTTCTTTTACCTCTATATCCACTGGATCAATATAACTTGTGTCTGGATGCTTAATCATTGACGCGATGGTGGCAAGAGCATCGGCCAACTCATTCTGTGTCCTGGGAGTGTGTCTGAACTCAATCTTGCGAAATCTCTTGCACAACTTCTGTATATACCGCACATACGGTGTGATCTTTGGATTTTTCACGGCCCATCCCCTTGAACCTGATGAATCAGCAAATCTGAATCTCCAATAACCAGCAACTCGTGACATTCATATCAATTGCCATCTTCAGACCGAGGATGCAAGCTTCATACTCAGCCATATTGTTCGTGCATTCAAATCGGAGTTTAGCCGCCATAGGATAGTGCTGACCGGTTTCCGACACTAAGACCGCTCCGATTCCTTTCCCTTGATGATTCGCCGCTCCATCGAAGAATACTCTCCATCCGGGGTACGCTTCAGAAATATCTTCGCCCACGAATGAAACTTCCTCGTCAGGAAAATAAGTTTTGAGCGGTTCATACTCCTCATCAACCGGGTTCTCTGCAAGATGATCGGCTAAGGCCTGTGCCTTTATCGCCTTCTGAGTCACATACACAATGTCAAACTCACTCAGAAGCATTTGCCATTTAGCTAGCTTTCCAGTCGGCATTGCTTTCTGGAAAATATACTTCAATGGATCCATCCTGGAAATAAGGTATGTGGTATAAGAAGACAAATAATGTCTTAACTTCTGAGCAATCCAGGTCAAAGCACAACATGTCCTCTCCAACAGAGTGTAACGAGCCTCGTAGGGAGTGAATTTTTTGCTCAAGTAATAGATGGCTCGCTCTTTCTTCCCAGTTTCGTCATGTTGACCAAGCACGCATCCCAATGCATTATCTGAGACAGACAAATATAACAATAACGGACTCCCTTCTCGCGGAGGGACCAACACCGGTGGATTGGACAAATAGTTCTTGATAGCGTCAAAAGCCGTTTGACATTCTCCGGTCCACTTGGTCGAGGCATCTTTTTCAATAACTTAAAGATAGGCTCACACACCACAGTGGATTGAGCTATGAACCGACTGATGTAGTTCAACCTTCCCAAAAAACTCATCACCTCTTTCTTTGTCTTTGGAGGAGGTAATTCTTGGATCGCCTTGATCTTGGAAGGGTCAAGCTCAATGCCTCTCCTGACTCACTATAAATCCCAACAACTTGCCAGCTGGCAACTCCAAAAGCACATTTGGTCGGGATTTAATTTCAAATTATATCGGCGTAGACGATCAAAGAATTTCCTCAAGTGAGTCAAGTGATCCGAACTCTCGCGGGACTTGATTATGACATCATCTACATACACCTCGATCTCCTTGTGAATCATATCGTGAAAAATGGTTGTCATAGCCCTCATGTAAGTAGCCCCGGCATTTTTGAGACCAAATGGCATCACCCGATAATGATATACACCCCAAGGCGTAATGAAAGCTGTCTTTTCTGCATCTTCTCCGTCCATCAGGATCTGGTGGTAACCCGCATAACAATCCACAAATGACTGCATCTCATGATTAGCGCAGTTGAGTCTTTTGTTTTACTGGGCTGAAATCTGGATTGATCGGCAACTTGTGGGACACCATATTTGTACTCAGTCCTGGCATGTCTTTATAAGACCAGGCAAATACATCAATGTACTCCCTGAGCAAACGAACCAGGTCCTTTCTTTGAGCTTCAGTCAGATGGACGCTGATTCTGACTTCTTTAACACATTCTTTATCTCCGAGATTCACAGTTTCGGTTTCTTCCAAATTTGGCTTATGTTGATTTTCGAATTGTCGAAACTCTTCAGCAACATGTTCGGGAACCTCATTTTCTTCTCCGTATTCCTCGCACTCATCATCACCTGCCTCATTTTGTTCACTCGGTTCATGACATGACATGACATTGGCAGGTTTTAAATTATTATTACTGAAATCATAAACAAACCAAGTTAGGAAAGTAAAATAGAAATAGATAAGTAAACAAACAAATTTTGATAAAAGAGGCTTTTCATTTAAATTGAAAGACAAGCACAAACTTTGGCCATGGCCGAGGGCCATTTTGCCTTTTGAAACATCACAAGGGAATTTAAAAGTTTCAAACAAATAACGATTGCATAAAGGGTGGGTCTCGGGCCTCTTCCGGACTACCACCGATTTCAAACAAACAACGACACATGTCATTTCTACCCAGATGAGCGGGAAATCAAGAGTGGTGTGGAGGTCCAGTTCTGCAATTGCTCCTCAGGTTCCGCATCACGGATGCCTGATGTCCCAGCCTCTTCCTCGATGACCGCATCAATCTCCTCAAAAAGGCCACAGATTCCTTCCCTGAGACCACCATCATTGACATTTTCGCGTACCGGAAATGACTGGTACAGAAAAATATAATAAAATCAGATAATGGGGACGAGTTTTTCAAATAGATCTCGAAAAAATCCGAAGGATCAAAAAAGAAATTGCGTCCATCGGATATTCGAGCCGAAAACTACAATCATTTCAAAATGCACCATATTAAAGGGATTGATCGAGAGTTGAAAATAAAATTTCAAACGGCCATAACTCTGGCTTCGGATG